CMRTTTAAAACCATTCCCTCTTGTCCKGTCACTCTCTGGCATTCCAGGGCTGTCCATCCCCACACCAGTCACTGCATTTCCTCCTCCTCCTGCAGCCTGGATTGGCCCCAGAGCACYAGGGATTAAACCACACGAGCTGGCGTCAGCAGAGCACGGAAAAGAAAAAAAAAACCCCAAACTATATATTTTGGTATTTGTATAGAAAACATCGCAGCTCCTGCTGCTGAATGAGAACATTCCATCATCCCACCGCACGGGGACGGTCCCGACGGAAATTCCCTCTGTTCCAGGCGCTTCCCAGGGGCTCTGCCAGTCCTGGGAGCTGCAGGGATTCAGCGAGGGSACACACAAAGCCCTTTCCAGGGTGCTGTGCCTGCAGCAGTCTCRGCCAGACGCCGGCAAATTCTTTCCAAGCATCTGCAGCTCGTTCCGACAATGCCGGCTTTGATTCCCCGGGACCCCGAGCTGAGTCGTTCCCGCTCCGGCGGAAATGTCGGCAGGAGGCACAAACATGGAATCGTGGAATGGTTTGGGTTGGAAGGGACTTTTAGAGATCTAGCCCAACCTTGCTGGCTCCAAGCTGGAAAGATCCTGGATTGAAGGGAGAGCCCCTCTGGATCACCCCGCAGCAGACGGGGTGACACAGCTCACCCCACTCTCCAAGCAGGAACCTCCACCCTAGGCATTTTCCAAAGGGTTTTCCATCCAGGGAGCAAAATCAGCTGGAAAAAACACCGGGAATGAGGACTTGAGCATGGATCAGCCTCTGCAGCGTGAGGAGATCCAGGCCTTCCAGCCATGTTTTCCCCGCTGTAGGGAAAAGAGCATTAAAATCCCATAGGAAGGCACCGCAAACTGCTCATAACTCCAGAGCCACGCCGAGAAAATTCCGCGTTCCAGCGTGTTTTCCAAGCCCAGGCTGCTGGAATATTGTCTCCCTCCCTCGCGCTGATGCCATGGGATAAATCCCGTCGCAAAGCTCCGCTGCAAAGAAAACATCCCGCAAAAAAACCTGGGAAAAGCAGCCGGGGCTGGYGCTGCTGACTCGGCGAGGGATTTGCTGGTCCCGGGGTCCTGCAAACACATCCGAGGGCAGGCAGAGCCTGGGATCGGTGCAGATGGAGGTGCTGGAGCAGGCTCTCCTCAGAAATAAAAATGTGGATGGAATTCCAGGGTGGGGACTGAACACCGCTTGAACTTGCTGGCTGAGGTGGGGTTTTCTTCCAGATTCTGCGGATGTGATGYGAGGCTGGGTGGATGAGCAGCATTTTTCCCTCTCCATGGGTTTTATCGGATTTGAAGGAAGCAGATGAGTCTCAGTCCTCGTGGGTTTGGGTCAGGTTTGTACCCCTGTGGCACTCACCAGACATCCCAGTGCCCCCYGTTCAACCCAGCCACGATCCACAGCCTCCAGGCAGGTCCTGCCCATTTCTCCAGCAYGCAAATCCATCCCTCCTTGCCAAAACATCCGCTTTTTWAMMAAAWYCYKSCCC